AATATATATATATATATATATATATATATATATATATATATATATATATATATATGTATATATATAATATCAAGATAGAGAGATATGTATATGAGATATTGACCTGTAAGGAGGTGCCATTTTTGATGTCCAATCTATCAACTATCATAAGTGGAACTTCAATTTTAGTATTATCATGCTGCGCTATTGGGACTATGTTCCCCCGAACTTGGAGGAGATCACACGTGGGAGTCTGAACTAGCAACCAAAATGGAATGTTGAAGGGCTCAATTTCATCCACCTCCGGCTCAGGCACCACCATCTTCCACTCTTGATTGAGATCATCCCAAATGTCTATCCTTCCATAAAATGTTGCATAGAGTTGGTCTTTATAGAAGATGGCATCTTCATAGAAATCAGGAAATGACATCGTCGTCCACTTATTGTCATTAGATCTAGCAATGGAGATGCCCCCATAGGGGTAGTGGATGAGTGTAACAATATAGTCTCCTCGTGAGGGGTCTGACGATAGCATGGCCTTGAACTTGAGCTTAGGAATCCCTTCCCCTGGATATTGGTTATGGATGAGATCATTGACATCGCCTCTTATGCGCCCCCATATGTCGCGGAAGGATCCGATGTTATCGAGTGTGAGGATGAAGGGGAGGTTGATCTGTGCACCACTAATGGGGTTCAATAGTTGCACCTTGAAACACTCATCGATGGTGATCAACCACCCATAGGAGGAACCCAAAAAGAGGCGATTACGAATCGGAGGTTGTGGGAGGGGGATGGTGTACACCTTCTGCTCTGAGAGGCTAAAGAAGTGGGCAGCGGAGGGGTCATCAGTGGCACTACCTATGTCATCACCGCTACCACTAAATGCGAGCCAAGGGCTTTGGTGGCAAAGCTTGGAGCAGTATCGACGAAGATCACGAATGGTGCGTAACCATGTGCCACATACAATGGTGCAACAGAGGAGATCGTGTAGGGAGAGCTCAGAGACGATGAGGTTTAGGACATCTTGGTGAAGATTGGACCAGTCGGCCATGGTGAAGACAAGGATTCGCTGCCCTCCCTTTCTCTATATTTATAGTTTTCTTATTCCCAAGTTAACTCCAACACAAAATCAATAGCCTTATAGAGGTTGCCTTATATAGTGAGTTACTCTCATTTATATAATATGCTAATATAGCATATATATTAGGTTGTTTAAATATTTAATATATTCAGGATGCGTGGGTTAGAATCTATATGTCATGTTATAATTGACTAAATATAATAGTTATATCATTTGCCCTCGTACTTGAGGTAGAAGCTTATTTATCATATAGCACAGTATAGATTTTGGGACCTATTATTTGAATTCTAAGATTATTAAGTGGTATTATTTCTTGTCCTATGGTAATATAGCAAGTAGAAGGGGATATTTTAATCGTGTAAGTCATATAAGATGATTTTACATCAAGGTACCAAGAATGCTTTATTTGTATTTGCATTAGAAGATTTAGGTTTTTTTTTTGTCGAAGGCAAACACATCTCACATAAAGGGATGCATTTATCATATTAGGAGCTATGATACCTTTGTTCTCATAACTGGATGTATCTTGCACGAAAGATGATACTTTAATCATATCTAAGGTGACATTTTAATCATGAATATTCTTTAAATTCTTTTTTTTGGTCTTGAGTAGACGCATCATGCACAAAGGGATACTTTGATACTATTAAAGGCTTCAAATACTTCTTTGTCTTAGGTGGATTCATCTTTGTCTTAGGTGGATGCATTAGGTGTATAGAGGATGTTATGATTGCCTAAGATGTTCTAGATACTTCTTTCTCAAGACGCATACATCATGTGTAAAAAGGATGTTTTGTTCATCTTAAACACATTAGTTACTTTTTTATCAAAAGTAAAATTATGATGCCTAAATGGGATACTTTAATTACATTAGATAATTTAAATATTTTTTTGACATGCAGGTCTCATCAAGCTTTTTTTTTTTTTTTTTTTGTCTCTTGTAAAAGTATCAAATGTAAAAGTGATGCTTTCAAGCTAACCGACCACATTGAGCACTTTGAAAATTTTTTATTATTTTTATTTACAGCAAATACATCACTCACAAATGGCAAACTATGGCTACGTGGAATTATTTATATATATATATATATATATATATATATATAATCAAAATTGGACTAATTCAATTTCAATTAGATTTTCTTGGGATAATTCTGGATCTTGATGTCGTTTCTCAATCGGATCATTTTAAGTTATTGTTCAAGTCAATTAAGAGTTGACACCTCATATTTTTATGATTCAATAAAATTAAAAATCTTATTAAAATTTATATTTATAAAATTTAAAAATAGTTAATAATTATTAAATTTAAATAACACTTGATATTAAGATTGATGAGATTAATATGATTGCTACCGTTATCAATGTTGGGAATGCACTGCATCTATCGAGTCTCCCGTATCATATTACCAAGGATCATAATTATATTTATATTTAATATTTGAAAATAAGTAAAGTATAGTCAACACAAAATTAAAACAAGAAAGTCGACATTTACTAAATAAAAGATAATTTAAAATGTACGCAATTTTAGAAATGTCAATTGGCATAGTGGTGTGTGTGACGTGGGTAATAATAATAATAATAATAATAATAATAATAATAATAATAATAATGTATGTATATATATGGCTAGAATGGCAATGCAATGTTTCTGTACTCAAAGCCATTCTCGGTACATTCCAAATTATTCATGGCTGGCATGTATACCAAATTCTTGAAAGATATAGAATGTCAACAAATAAAAGATAGTGTTGAATGAGTTAAGCTCAAATCCATATGGTTTAAATATTAATTAGATATTGATCGAAATAGAGATGAATAAATGTATTATCTATCCTGAGAGGATCGACTATAGTCTCTATTCACAAGGATCAATATCACCTCTATCCGGAGAGGTATTTTTTGGAATCCACCTTTTAAAAGGGGTAAATAAAATCGTGTAGAACACATCTTAAAAAGATAATTTCTCATGAGCTCTCACGGTTATATTGATGAAAACAAAAGATAACTTATCATATGGTGTGTTTTAACACTCTTAACATGGATACACGTTCTACACATTCAATAACATCAAACTCATTTACCAATATAATTCATATTGAGTAACAGTCCAAAAGACAATATAAGAGCCTATAATTCCATAAAATGGGTATTCTACAGATTCAGTAACACCAAATTCAATCACCAACTTAATTCAAATCAAACAACAGTCCATTAGACAATTTAACCAACTAGTCACATAAACAAACCTCGACCGTAGAAATTGCTGCAACAATTATATCATCCTAAAAATAGACAAGTTTCAGGTCAGTATTGATGAGCACAATTGGATACTAAGAGTTGCAAGGACATCACCAATCCGTGAATGTTCATTGATGCAAAAATAAAATAACTAAATGGCAGATGCTGCCTCTTCAAAGCAACAAATGGCATCTCAGGAAAAATTTAATGAAGCTGAAGCTTTTTGATCTATATTCAATTTGCTTCGCGGGGCTCAGTCCCATGGGGCAGGCATGAGCACAGTTCATGATAGTGTGGTAACGGTACGGTTTGAACTCATCATTTACAGCATCCGGGCGAACCTTTGTGTTCTGATCCCGGCTGTTCTGTATCCACCAACACAACATAGCAAACTTTAGCCATGAAGAGTTTGTCCAAGCAGAATTAAAGCAATCAAAAACGAATCTGAGCATTCCCAAGATAAAAGAGAAGAGAAAGAAAAACAACAAACAGACAAAGGATTTTACTGGTTGCTAATATTCATCAAAAAAGGTAGTGCGATAATTCATGCTTCCAATTCTTTTTTTTTTTTTCAAGCCCATTAATTGTGTATTACAGATCATAATAGCACAAAATCAAACAATCTTCAGGTGATGAATCCTGGAACATATGACATATTTCAGGGATAACATGCTGATGATATATATGGGTGCATGATAAGAAGTAATAGGAAATAAATTGCCAGGTCTGCATTGCTATGATTGGATTAACAACAAACTTGATTCGCATATGACACCATACAATGAAAGGTCTACATAATATTATTCCCGGATACTTTAGTGCAAATAATCCAAATGAAGATCTTGCTAATAGGAAGATTCTCTCTCAATGAAAATTTGGAGGCAAAAGAAATTTGCCAGAAATAAAGATGGGATGATTGATTCCATTATTCTTTCAAGTAATAAATTTGTCTGGTTACTCTTTTTCTTGTATGCGAGATCTATGTAAAAGGAGTACTAGAAAAAAATTACAACTCAATGAACTTTCAATACTATGTGCGAGTGGTGTAAGATTCTCTTCTTCTCCTAAAGTAAGTCGGTCTGGATTTTGAGCATCTCCAAGATAAGCACCCATTTCCTATCTTTTACACCTTTATATAAACCCTATACTACATCCTGCTTTTCAAAGCCATTACAATATTTAACTTGTCTTTCTACTTATATTTACCAGTCTACAAGTAACACATCAACAATCCACTCAATGCCCTTGATGATCAATATCTTCATTTACCTTCCCAAACTGCTAAACATTTGGTGTCAGTGGAGAGCAATGTTTCCAACTACATTGACGACAAGGGAAGCCACTTCTAGAACCAACCAAAACAACGTTGGGAGGATTTACTTCAACCAAATCTTCTTTTTATGATTGACTTCTTTTTCCTACGAATCAGGCATGTTTACATCAAGTATTATTCTTTATTTGTTTATTTTCATTCCATGTCCAATTCCCTTGAGCCCCAGTATCCTTATAGCTTAACTTTTGCTAATTCAAATGAGAAGCCTTAAAAACGGAAGTCCTCTAAAAAAGGTTCTTGTTTCACAATGTAAATGTAAATTTCACCCTAACTCACCTTTGACCCAAACCCAGCAAGAATAGCATCAGAATCCCATGTCTGCAGAATCATTCTAACTATGGTGTATAACCCAAACTTGCTCTTTACTGAATAGGAGACAGAAAGGCATGATTGGCTTCACAACCACTTCGCCTCCATGTCAGACATCATGACAACATGTAATATAAGAAATTGTTCAGTTGCATAAAAAACATCCACATTAAACCAAAATAGTTTTTTAGTTAGTTAAGAGATTTTTCATAAATTGTTAGCTTATAAAAGAATCCTCAAATATCATCTCTTGTTATCTCTCAGAAGATCCTCATAAAGAGAGCTAATATTAGATAATACCATGAAACTCAAAAATATGAATCTCGCAAGCTTGTCTAATCTTCTTAAACCTTGATTGGAATGCAAATTCGTACCAAAAATTTTATAACCCACCAGGTTTAATCACAATAGACAATTACTCATATAGATACAAAGAAACACGCGGAGACAAGTTAATTTATGTGAATAAAACGTGAGGAAAAAAACAACCTCCCAAACTTTAGAATTTCTAATACTGAAGGCAGAATATGAAAAAAAGTGAGGCCCCTAGCCATACAATTAGCAATAAACTGAAGAATTAAAATAAAATATGACACCAATGACAAAGCATAATAAAGATCATTCAAAACAATCAGGAAGATCCCACACTCTAACAGAGAGAACCTATTCAAAACCCTACACCAAGTGCACATTCAATCCATGCAGGAGGCCTGATTAGCTGAAAAAATAATAATAATGGTCATTTTGACATCAAATTTTAGCCATTTTTTTTATGTCCACCTAATATCATCTAGTAAACGGATCTCTAGAGATCAACTCTTAAGTTGGAAAAATTATAAACTCCAATCTTCTCTTTCCACAACAAGTACACAAAGACGAAAAAACAAATTCATAATGATCATCAACCTTCCAACCCCATGATGGTAGGCCAAACATTACTCCTCAACATAATAAGGGCTAATTATAGATTATCCCGTATAGTTAGCTATCCTTAAAATTCCGGTCTCTATACTTTCAAAAGTTATACTTACGAAAGTGAAATATTTAACCCCGCTTCTCCTCACACCATCGATTCTGATGACGA